CGACCTGGGCTGTCTGCCTGCGTGCGGCCGACCGTCGCACGGACGGGGTTCTGTGATGCCGTGCGGGGTTCTGTGATGCCGTCGCGTGGACGGGTTCTGTAAAGCCGTCGCGTGGACGGGTTCTGTTGTAATGTCGTCGCGTGGACGGGTTCTGTAATGCCCGTATATGGGACAGGTTCTGTGATGTCGACATATGGGACGAGTTCTATGATGTCAGGTTCTGTGATGTCCGCATATGAGACGGGTTCTGTGATACGCACGCTACTCGGCGTAAACGCAAATTTGCAGCGAGGTCGACGGTGTCGCGTGGACGGGTTCTGTAATGCCCGTATATGGGACAGGTTCTGTGATGTCGACATATGGGACGAGTTCTATGATGTCAGGTTCTGTGATGTCCGCATATGAGACGGGTTCTGTGATACGCACGCTACTCGGCGTAAACGCAAATTTGCAGCGAGGTCGACGGTGACCTGTCTTTAATCCGATCATAAAGGTGCGTCTATACGTGTCAACGTTACGACGCTCTAACACACCCTCAACTATACGTGTCAACATTATGACGCTCTAACGCACCCTCAACCCCTAGAGATCCTATCCTTTTATAGGCGAGAACATAGAGTCTACCGCACCCTCAACCCCTAGAGATCCTGTCCTTTTATAGACGAGAGCTAGGCGAGAGCAGAGGGTCTACGATGAGATTTCAGAAGATTTTCTCCCATCCATATATCTCCAAGGAATCGAATCGTTGGACTTAGTCTATTAACTAAAATATCTGAACGGAACTTAATTAGTTATTGGCGTTGAAAGCTAGACCAACGCCAAAAAAGTAAAGGAAAACTGAAAAACACTAAGCATGTCCTCTGGAACAACACTCGCACGCACAAAGGCAACATGAAGAGTCCTGGGTGGACCGATCACGGCACCGTAGCCGCATTGGCGATGGTTTCAGTCCTGCCTAGAGATAGATGATGACGTACACAGATTCCGAGACCGCGGCTGTTCCAAACTGGCGTGTGCAAAGGACAGTGGGCCTGCGCATGACACGACGTGCTTCCACTAATGGGTTGTTTTGCCTGTACATCCCCTTTTCAAGTCATCCACCACCGCTACCTAAAATGTCACCGGGATAAGGACCAGCTCTTCAGTTGACCCACAATTAATTCTTCGCCAATGTTTCGTGACTTCACCATCGTCGAGATCTCGAGTTTCTGTCGACCATTGTAGATAATTGTAACAGGTACCAGATTCTTCCACATAGAATAGGAAAAAATGTTACGTCTAATATGTCTCCCTCCTGATCGGATCTGTACCGCAAATCCAGCGGGAATCTGCACCGGTATTTCCACCAAATGAAACAGAGCAATCCGGAATGGCGGAGTCGCAGGCGACATGGCCATTCAATGCGGTTCACCGTTCTCACGCTGTCGTCACGTCGATGCCTGTCGAGGCGCAGCCATTGGACGGTCCAGCTCCGAAGCATGGTTCCGATCAAAATAACACTACTCTGTTCCGGAGTCAAGATGGAGGGAAGATTCCCAAGTCCTTGCTGCGACCACGTGTAGGATGACGGTGGACTGCTTGAGCTGTCTCGTTCCCGCTGATTCATCGTGATCTCTTCTTCTTGGCTGCTACTGATCGACGCTGTCATCGTACCATTAAGCGACGAATAGTCACCCACCATCAACCTATCAAAATCTCGCCGGTGGTTCCAAACATGACCCCACCCAAAATTGGACCTGACCTTTCACACACTACATAGTTGGTCTCTCTCGCTGCCTTCTAGTTTCCTTCCGAAGCATTCCCAATCCCTACCAATGCACTCTACCTGACGACATATTCCCGATCTCTACTAATTCTTAACCGCGATCATCCAAGAATCTCGTTTACGAATCCGATCCTCACAACGATCGACGAACACGCGTCCGGGTTTTTGCTAATCAACCATATATATGATTTAATTCCAATTAGATCATTTGACGATTGACAATAGGTGGTTGGACCCACGAGAGATATTTCACGTATGGGTCGGATGTGACCTCTCGGTGATTTCAATTAGACCTATAGTGGTGTAGGAATCCTATACCACGTGCCCTATCTTTGCGACGACGCACCTAACACTAGCACGAGCCTTTCCCTCCAATCTAAATACCACGTTTCTTTCGCTACATCTGTCTGTCTAACTTGAGCCGACGTGTCGGTGCGTTCGGCTTGGCTCCGCTTGGCTCGCTGCACGTTTTACCATAACCACAGGGTACTGTTTCCGCGTGACTTGAAAGCTCGACACTTCGGGGATCTGCACTTCTCATCTTCTGGAATTCCCACAGCGGTCGCCATCGCTTTCTTCGTCTGGTATAGACGGGATCTTGGGAAGGAATGGTGCAAGTGGACTTTCGAGATCTCTGAGGCCGTCGAAGCGGACGCTTACGGGGGTTCAGGATGGGGAGGGGCTCGTTCTGGTCGGACGACGACCGGCACATGGCGGTGGCGGTGCTCGGCCACCAGGCCTTCCACTTCCTCAGCTCCAGGCACGAGACCTCCTCCGACAGCCAACTAACCGCTGTCGGCTGCGGCGACGCTGGCCTCCAGAACAAGCTTCAGGACCTCGTCGAGGGCCGCCGCTCCGCCGCCTCCTCCTCCTGGGCCTATGCGATATTCTGGCAGATATCGCGGTCCGAGTCTGGCGATCTCGTCCTCAGTTGGGGTGATGGCCACTGCCGCGAGCTCGAGGACGCGGAGGAGGTGGACGGTGGCTCCCGAAGCCACCCGCTGGAGGCTACCCGCCAGGAGATGCGCAAGCGGGTGCTCGAGAGGCTTCACGCTCTCTCCGGTGGTTCCGACGATGAGAACTACGCGCTCCAGCTGGACCGCATCACCGACTCAGAGATGTACTTCCTGGCGTCCATGTACTTCTCGTTCCCCAAAGGGGAGGACGCCCCTGGGAGGGCACTCGCGTCGGGGAAGCACATATGGATCTCGGAGGCGGCGCTGGCATCGCCGGCATGTGCCAATTACTGCGTGCGGGCGTTTCTTGCAAGGTCAGCGGGGTTTCGGACCATCGTCTTCGTGCCGTTCGACGCGGGAGTGCTCGAATTGGGGTCAGTGGATCCCGTGCTGGAGAGCTTCGAGACGCTGCACAAGATTAGGTCCGTGTTCTGTCAGGGCCGCAATAAGGCCGCAGCGGTAGGCGAGAAGATGGACGAGAACAATTCTCACGTTTCGGCTTCGCGCTTTGGGTCCAGCAGCCACATCCCGGCCGAATATGCCAAGATCTTTGGAAATGATTTGAACCTTGGACGTGCTCAGCTCGACGGGAGGGCAACTTCGGCCGTGAAGGCGAAGAAGCCGCCATCGGAAATGATCGCGAGGCACGGAGACCACCTCAAGGCGAACCCGCTCGGTGATGCTGCAGCGTTGCTCGAATGGAATCAGAATCACAACGTGAATTCTCATCAACAGAAATTTGGTAATAGCGTAGCGTATGTTCGACATGTCAACGGGTTTGTCAGGGACGACCGTCCAAGAACGAACCCGTTCCAGCCTCAGAAACTGCAGCCGCAACAGCAGCAGCGCCAGCAACCGCTGTCTCAGTCCGGGCAAATCGATTTCAGAGCAGGTGGGGCGGACCCCGGCGTCGTGGTTAGTCGTTTGGGCGCGTTCGACTCGGAGCTCTCCGACGTCGAGGCCCCGTGCAAGGAAGATACACCAGGCACGACGGAAGAGCGGAGGCCGAGAAAGAGGGGCCGGAAACCGGCCAATGGCAGGGAGGAGCCGCTCAACCACGTGGAAGCCGAGCGCCAGAGGAGGGAGAAGCTCAACCAGAGGTTCTACGCCCTGAGAGCCGTGGTGCCCAACATCTCGAAGATGGACAAGGCCTCCCTGCTCGGCGACGCCATATCCTACATCACGGAGCTCCAGAAGAAGCTCAAGGAGATGGAGGCCGAGAGGGAGATGTGGGGCGACCCGTGCTTAATGGACTACAAGCGGCGGTCGCAGTGCCCTGATATCGACGTCCAGGTTGCTCAGGGCGAGGTAATCGTTCGCGTGACCTGCCCACTGGAAAGTCACCCCGTGTCCGAGGTGATCCAAGCTTTCAAGAACTCACAGATCAATGTGGCGGACTCCTGTGTGACTTCAAACAACGACAGTGTCCTGCACACGTTTGTGGTGAAATCGCCGGTCGCAGAGCAGCTCACTAAGGAGAAACTAATCGCCGCTTTCAACTCGTGAGATGACCGCGACGTGATGCTCTGCATCTCTCGCATCCATCGATCTGTAGCTGAATCGCTGGATGTCCATAGGTACACTGTAATACAACAAAGCTATAACCCTGGCAAGCTAAACTCGATGTGTAAGCTCACTCACCATTTGCCTACTGCAGTTGTATAAGTGGGTGATCAAATGTAACCCAAGTTTACTTAGTTACTCCATTAATCTAATTCTCATTTGTCGGTATCCTTTTTCCTGTTGCCACTCATTCAAATATCTATATGATAACACCACAAATGACGGGGCTTTTGGATAGCATACAGATAGATTCACACCGTCGGCGAGAACTTTATATTAGATCTATCAACCCAAACCTGGTTGTCAAATTTCACAGGTGCCCAGGAATCATAGCTGCACATAGTAACACTGCCGGTGAAGAGGAGGAGTGCCTTAAATCGGCGTTGTCAACTTGAGCATGATGTCCATGGTTGTGCTCCTTTTGCTTTTGCTGATAGTAGCTTCTGTCGCTATGGTGAATGAAGATTGTTGAGAAAGAGAGAGCTTATGTGTATGTTTTCCCCAGTTGGCCACTACTGAACAACAACTAAAGCAAGGAACAAACACGAGTACTACTAGTCCCAGCCAACACAACAGGTCATCCTGAGGTAAATATAAAGTTACCATGTTAGTAGTAGACTGCTTGCTCCCAGTGCCATTGCATATCAAATTTTTGAGCATGGATGTGATTTAGAAAAGACAATCTATTGTACGGTATGTGGCATCTACTGTAAAAGGCAACGACATAAGAAGCTTGTGATTATATCATCTGCTTTGTTGTTTCTCGATCACAAGACTCCTGCATCTCTTTCTTCTCTGGCTGGATTCTGCTTTGTAAGCCTCAGCATCTTCATGCTCTCATGCGACCCAGTAACTTTCAGAGAAGAACAGGTCTTTGTACAGTTTTCCAAGGGACAGCAGCTATGTGGAAGACGCACCCTTTTGCATTAGGCTTCCAAGGAGTTGGGTTATTTGAATGATAAGTAAGTAGGACTTCAAATTGGGTACTTACAATTATAACACTAGATTAGTCTCACTTAAATTTGACTTAGAAGGGTCTCATGATATATCTTCGTTAATGATTCGAACTCGATAAAGTCGATGGAGCATATAAGAAGATGATACCCTTTTTTTTTTTTGGGGGCAAAAATCTTAATCGAATTCACTTCGACGGTCGGGTCGGCCCATAGCGACAGCGGCCCAAAACAGCCACGGAAGACGCAGCAGCTTCCACTGCATCAGTACAAATTAGTGCGATCGTTAGATCGATCCGCTCCATTTAAACGGCCGACGCTAAAGCCAACGTCCGCATAATGTTCTCCGTACGTCACCCTCCCTTAGCACGAGGATCCCTGCGGAACTCGATGCGAATTGGTGATGACCCGGACGCGCACGCAGCCACTCCCACCCCCCACTTCTTTGTGGATGCGAAACGAGCTTCGAGTGACCGAAGCGAGAGAGAGAAAGCGGATGGAGCTTATCAGAGGAAAGCCGCATCGCGGGTGAAGTTTTCTACTACTGGCGCTGCACCTCTAGCAGCAGAGGAGGTGCACATCTCGCCGAGTGCGCCAACGATCTGCTCTCGCAACCTCGACTTTCTTCCGTTTTCTTTCGATTCACCGCTCGATCGTTTAGGGTCTCCTCAACTCTGCTGGCGAGATCAAACTCTTTGCTTTATTCTTTTCTTTTCTTTTCTTTTTCCTCTCCTCGAGCAAGGGTTTTCGATTCGATGGATGAGATTTAGTGCAAAGACAGAATTTTAATTTCTTGTATTTTGATTTTGTTTCCTAAGATCAGATACTGGTTACGGTTCTTGATCTGTTCTTCCCTGCTCTTCTTTTCAAGAATAGCCACCGATGTTGGAGGCAGTTCTGTCCACGGAGAACACAAGTGGCGAAGCCACTAATATTTTCTAGGATGTTTATTGTAGCAATGCAGTCGGGTTTTGTTCTGGACTTGAAACCATTCCGTGTGACAAATGGATGAAAGTGGCTTTGTTGATTATATAGCTAGGGTTTCTATTCCGATATACCCATATGCTGCAAGAAAAAAAGAGGGTCTTGCTGGATGTAGGTAGATTTGTTATGTAGGCAAATCTCTTGGAATGAATTCTGGTAACCAGAAAGGTGTTTGGACATGAATTCTACGATCGACGAGATCACCCTCCTTCGGCAATCCCAGGCCCGGTCCACGAGCCATCGTATGGTCGTGAGAGGGATCGGGGAAGAAATCGACTTGGAGACAGGCCCTGGGGATGATGACCCTTCCTTCTCCAGCACCACCCTTGTTGGCGTGCCCACACAGGAATCTTCTGCTCCCCAGGAGCAAGAAGATCACAAGCAGCTTCTTTTGGCCTCTCAAGTTCCCAGTCAGGGTCAGCAGCAGCTAGTGAAGGTGCCGCAGGGAAAGAGAAAGAAGAAGGTAGTGAAGAAGTGGAGGGAGGAGTGGGCAGATACCTACAAGTGGGCTTATGTAGATGTACATGAGGGCACGACAAGGATTTTTTGCTCGGTTTGCAGAGAGTATGGAAGGAAGCACAGGAGGAACCCGTATGGAAATGAGGGAAGTAGAAATATGCAAATGAGTGCACTGGAAGAGCATAACAACAGCTTGCTGCATAAGGAGGCTCTTCGGCTCCAGATGGCATCTAAGGATAAGGGTCTCCCGGTCATTGAGAAATCTGTTTATGTTAAAGGTTAGTATGTCGTTTACCACATGTCACTTTTTCTTATCATCATTGATTCTCCAATGCCCCTTCAGCCATTTGTTGTCTAAATTGGTATTGATATCATTATTTGATATTTTTTGCTGGGCAGTGCTACGGTCTAGATTCTTGAGGCAATGGACTTACTTTGTGTTTTCAGGCTAATCGACATGTTATTGGGAATGTGTTTATTGAGGCAGTGAGACAGACTGATGGTAAGCAAAGAAAGGCTAGGCGCCCAGGTATAGCAGGTTTCTAGTTCCGTGGGGGAAGAGTGAGTTTAGAGCATAAGTACGGCCAAGCTACTACTTAGCGACGAAACAAGTTATACTATCCGAATTTCACTAACATCTTACTTAGCGGTCTTCTACAATCCGACATAAGACTAGCTATACTAACGAGTTGAACTAGTGCTTTTAAGGCCTCGTACCGGCGACAGAGGATCTCACTTTGTTTGTAATAAGGGAATGAAAGCACCATCGACATCTTCATATCTATAATGACCCGAGCCTGATGAGCTAACTAGCCTATCAACTTCGTTTGGTCTAAT